GGACAGACAGCCGGCTCCGGCCGTTCACTCCTGGCCCGAGGGACCAGCCGGCGGAGAGCCGCCTGCCTGCCGTGCCCGGCTCAGCCCGCGTCGCTTTGCGGGATTTGGACCACGCCATCCTTAGGCTGCTGCTGCCGTGACGGCGCCGCTTACGGTTGTCCTTTCAACATTTCCCCCCATCTCGTTCGTCAGAGCTAAGGCAAACGATAACAGGGCACAGACCAACTCACCTGCCGGTGCTGCAGCCGTGCGGGGCTGCTCTTCCAGCCGCCGCAGGGGACGTGCTCTGGGCTGCATCCCTGGCAGGACGGGTCCCTGGCCGGCCTCTCTGGGTCCTCACCCGCAAAACAAGATGGAATGTGTTTGCTCTCTTTTGCGGAATGCTTGTGAAACGCCGAGATAAAGGCTATGCTGTTTGCTGAAAGACATAATGGATGTCAAACATTATGACTTTCCCTTTTGCAATATAAAATTAGCAGTGGAATCTTAAATACAAAAAGGTGGCATTTGGGCTGAACTTTGAAAATCAGTATGCCTTTTCCATGTTCATGTATTTGCTTTTGCAGTATGGATTTATAAACACATGCCTGAAGTCTTTGGTGGTTGAAAAGTACGGTGAAGAAACATGGGAAAAATTAAGGTAATGTGTTCCCAATAAATGTGGTGTATGGAGGGAGAACGGTCAGGAATTTAGCAGCAGAGGATTATAATTTCTCACTGGTAAATGGCAGCTAATGGGTATCTCAAATAATTGTTAGAAGTAACCAGCAGGGCAAAAGCAAGAGTTTCTTACCTTGTAACACTTCATACTCTGATACTAATTTGTCCCAATTAATTTGTTATATCAGATAATTAAGGATGACATTTAGTCTTAAAGACAACTGTGCAATAGGCTCACTGTCTCACTGTGACAATATCGAAAAGTAATTACACTGAAAAGATGTCATCCTTGATATGAAGGCAGCCTAATTCCAGTACCTTCAGAAAAGCAGCTATATATATCATCTCTGTTTTTTCCTTACTTAATGAGCTTTGTGGCATTTCCCAAGAGAGAAAGATATAAAAATGGTACTTACGTACATACATATAGTAGCCATTGAAGCCAATATAACAATTCAGCAAGTTTTTGGTCAAGCCTGTGGAGACCCAAGACCTTGATATTGCGGCCACATTGAACGACAAGCCAGTAGACCAGAAGACAAAGTAAGACTCCACTTGCTCTAGCCCCCCGCAGTATGACGCCCTAATCCTTGAAAGGGTTTACCATAACACCACAATGTGAAACAGCAGAAATGGAGAGGTGGACAGCACCATTCAGCCATGTTAAAACAACACTCAAACCATTAGGGGAAGCAGTGTGTTCCATATAACGCTTCCATGAGGCTGAGGAGTGGGTGAACAGCAAACAGTGCTTAATGAATGCCAGTTGGGTCACCCAAGCATGTTATATTTACAGCACTGCTGAGACAAGAATATTGTCTTCTCTGTTGCAGACTGCAGGCCGGAGTCCAGGATTCTTTCTTGACTTTTGAGGTTTACAAAGATGAGATAACAATGCAGCTTGTTGATAAAGCCTGCAAAATGTTAGGTATGTGTCACCGTGCCTCAAAAATGAACCATCCTGGGTCAAGCCTGAGACTGCAGCCCAGGTTTTAGTCTCCTGTGCTGTTTGGAATGCCCTCCCTACGTTGCAAATTTTCTGCGTTCACTCTTAATCCTCCTGACAGCATTTCAAGAACTTCCAAGCCTTTCTTATTCTTTAAGGTATCTTTATTTTGCTAGGTGTTCTTTGAATTCTGTAAACGCTCAGGCTATGACCACATGCTGAGGACACTGGGTGGAAATCTCTACGAGTTCATAGAGAACCTGGATGCATTGCACAGCTACCTGTCCCTTTCTTACCAGGCAAGTTCGAGTAGTAATTACTGAGCAGGTATGGGTGGACTCTGCCAGAGTTTGCAACAGAAGGAACAGCATCTCATAAGTGTGAACGAATAATAGAAAAAGATGCTATACCAGGCTCTCCTATGTTCTGAAATTAATTACTCCAAAATGTTAGGACAATTTTTTATGATCATTTTTTTCTGAGTATTCCTCAACATTAGATATTATTTAGTACATTGTCTCTAATGCATAGTAGATTTTCCTTCACAAATGAGCATATTTGATTTTCTGTATTGCAGCTTATTCAGATTACTGCTTCTTTTATTAAGACACGGGATGGTTTTGTGCAAGTGGAATTCACCAGCAAAAGATATTGAAGTTTTGTTTTTGTTTGTTTTTCCTCAGGAGATGAACGCCCCATCTTTTAGAGTAGAAAAGAATGAAGACGGGTCAATGCATTTACATTACTATTCAGATAGAAGAGGTCTGTGCCATATTGTGCCAGGTAATCAGATAGAATGCAGAGTACAAATCAGCTAGTAATGCAATATATATACAGGGTAATCATATATTTGCAGATATACTTTGCTCCGGTTTCAGAATCTTTTTTCAGATGAGGACTGGCCATGGAATTGAAGCCTGGTAGAGTTTAGTCACCAGACATCTGACCTCGGTATTTCCCTGACTGCCTGATCACTCCTAGCTCCCAGTGGCTTCATCAAGATTTACAATATGACAACCCAGGCCATAAGTGTCTGTTCCTCCTATAGAATTCCTATAAAATTCCTTTCCTTGAAGGAGAATGAAAATTCGTGGTGTGTGTTGTGTCTACCTGTTGATTAGTTCTCGGTAACTCATGCTCCTTAAATTACAGTGAAGTACAAATTATAGTTGATTTGAAGACATCCATCCATCGTGTAATAAATACTCCTGCAGTACATGCAATCTGTAAAATTACTATTGAGCCCTGCTCCAAACTGAATCTTTTTCCAGCATTTATAGGAATCTCCACAGTTGTACTCGTGCAAGGGTTAAACAGCTGTAAGTCTGTAAGAGATGATCATATTCCTTTCTTTCATAGGTGCTGCTGAATTTAGAAGTTTATCAAAACTTCCCCCTTTGTCAAAACTCATTTCATATTCCTATTGAAGCACAGAACTATGTGGAATTTCAGACAGAGCTTTTCATGTCATTGTCCAGTATTTCGCCTAAGAGCTAAGCAGAAATGAGAGGACTGATTGTGCATCTTCATGAAAGATATTTCTTTCCTTTCAAAAGAAAATATTCTGCAATGACTGAAATAGATTGTTAGAGCAGAATCTCTTTAGACCCCCTGCATTTTTTGGGTTAATGGGAATTCATATTATTGCTATTTATGACTATTTGGACACATTCTTCAGGTATCCTGCTGAGCTTTTTCTAGTGAAAATAAGCATTTGTCATCGGACAAGACAAAAGAAACAGTAACTTTAAAGCTTATCTCCTATGCGCATATTCTTATCATGGCAACGGTAGTAGGAACGACATAGGTAACAGCAGGTTGATTTCTTCTTCCAGAGTCCTTCAGAAAAGTGATTTCTGAAACAGTGAAATTCCACTGTGGGCCCTCTAAAAGGGAAAATGGAAAGGGTTTGTTCTTGGCAATACTTTGTCTTTTGTTTCCCCTTCAGGAATCATTGGTGCAGCAGCCCTGGATTTTTTTAACATTGAGATTTCAATGGAAATAGTCAATCAAACAGAGGAAGAAGAAAGAACTGGTAAAAAAGAACATATTGTTTTTCTTGTCACTCAAAACCCTGTATTTTCATACAAGGAAAGAAATAAATTTTCTTCCTCAACTCAATATCTTGCTGACTCTGAAAAACAAATTGAAAACCAACTGAATAAAGAGGTATTTTACTATTCATTATCACTATATTATTAAAATATGATTAAATTAGAAACACTTTTGAATTTCCCTTTGGATTTATTTCAACAGGACCTTGAAAAAGCCAAGAATACAATTAGAGACAGAGGAAGCTCTGTTTGTCCTGTCAAGAAAAGTCACTGGAAAACACTAAGAGGAATAATCACATTAGGAAAAGGTGAGAGATCAAGCAGAGGGAGCTTGTCATCCTTTCTGAGTCTCTTCAAGAAGAAAGTCAGTAAGCCTCCCTATCTCCACCCACCCATCCATTTTGAAGTTACCATTCATATTTCCTCTGTGTCTTTTCAAAACCTTTCTGGTTAAGTTTCTTTTGTTTAGACACTGGTAATCAAAGAAAAATTGCAGATAATAAGCACGCTTAGTAATGACAGATACTTAAATGGAATATGACCTGTCACTTTTGTCTCTTAAACAGGGTTTTCTTCTGAGAAGTATTCTTCTGTAAAATGTCATTGTGTGGTACATTTGATACTTCCTTCTCATGTCACTTGGTCTAAGATGATGAATTTAAAAGAGTGGTTTTTAACTTGGTAGCTGCAGCTCCTTTCCAAATTTATCAACTGTAGTAAATTCTGAAAGCCAAATGATACCCTCCACTACCAAAAAACTACTGCTAATCTAGCAATCTCTGTTTATATCTTTATATATTATATGTTTATAATCTCTGTTTATATATGTTTATAAAATGGAAGGATTTTTGCAGTTAGGATCTTTTGATTCCTCAAGAGGAGGAGAATCCAGCTCAGTATCGCCAAGCTGTCTGGATTCTGGGAGGAATGAAAAAATGAACCTGATATCATCTGGTGCAATGCCACATGCATTACAAGAGCAGATACATTGAGTAAGAAATTAATATAGATTCAAAATAAAATTTTAGAGTAGCATTACTACTTAAAAAAATAGAATCCTTTAACAATAAATGCAAGAGTTATCAAGAGCCAGACTTTGAAAGATGAAAAACCCACACTGACTTCCCCTGAAGCAGTGAGAGGTCTAAAAGTTGGGTTCTAAATTTGTAATCTTTTTCACCAGTCTCCTAAGTGACTTGAGCATTTGTTATCAAGCAGAATTTACTAGAGTAACTGTCATAGCCACCTTCTGGTGGAAGAAGATCACTTGAAATAATATCCTTTTGATTATTGTGGGTTACTGGAGAATCCAAGCTTGTACTGGGAAGATCAAAGGCTTTGGGTGCTTCAGTCCTATGAGCGCTTTTGACTATTTTACCCATTTTATTCATTTTACAAAAATATCTGTTCGCTAGCAAGCACAACCTGCTCTGTAGATTTGTGATCATTCTGAAAAAAACTCAGGATAAGTAAAATGGAAACCAAACCGTAATTTGGTCTCTGTGTCATGGACTAGAGTTCTTTGTATAGGAGACTGAAACCCAGATCATGCTGCGTTTTTCTCCATAAGTGTTCCTTAGTAGCTGGCAAAATATATTAAATCCACTTCTGTGTACATTTTTGTGGGATATAGCTGTGTTATATTGCTATGACATCTGCAAATTCAGAGAGCAGAAACATCTACAGTTGTTCATCTATTCGTATTGTTTCCACATAATTTCATGCATCCAATGCTCTGTGCTTTTTGTGTGGTTAAGTTTTCAACTCTCAGCCAACTCAGTTGCTAATCGGCTGTGTATTAAACTGTGGAGCATTTAGCACAGATGTGTGCACATTTCTGGACCCACACACTGTTTACTTTGTCTTCATTCATTATGATATAGGGTCCTGTCTCACTGAGTGCTAAAAAGTAATGCTGACTGCTTTATGAGGTGCAACCCAATTAAAAACTACGCATTTATCTTGCCACAGGTAAGCTGCTGAGAGGATTTGTTCCTGTTTATCCCAAGAGCCTCTGGATTGATACAAAAACATTTTGCAATGGACTTCCTTTTCATATGGTTTTTGACAAAGAGGTAGGACAAGCATGTGGTAAGGGCATTTACGTGCATAAACCATATAGTAATTTTCTTCTGTTTGACTGTCCTACACTTCACGGCTGTGTGTGCTCTGTGTACAGAGCACACTCATTTGTAGCAGTTACAGAAGTGCTCTGTACAGAGACATGCAATAAAAGTCACTCATGACAACTGGATCTGGATCATTTCAGATAGGAATCTCCTTTGAATTTATTGAGATTACCGTGTCTGAAACGGCTGCAGGTATGCCAGCAAGGTTTATTGCAGCTGTCTATCCGTTACCAAACACAGAACAGAATTTTCTGGGTTTCTGGCCACCTTCCTGTCTTTGGATGTGCCAGAGACACGACCCATCCTTTAAACTGATAGCTAATCACCCTCTCCTCCCAGTTACCAATCTAGGCAAAGGCTTTTGTAAGGCTTTGCTACCAACTGAGGCTCCACATGCTTCCTGAGCCTACTCCTACACACTTCTGCTGGGAAAACCCAGCTACCTACTAAATCAGGCAGCATGCAACCCCATCTAGTAGGAACTAGACCCCAAAACCGCTTTATCTTCCAGGGGAGGATTGAGTCTGCGCTCCCGTGCACACATACTCTGCAGCAATGGAATTGCCTTTCCCTTCGCAGGGACTGCTCTGTGGCTGGTTTCCAACTAGCTTGGGTTCCCACCAAGCTATAGTTCCTCTTGCTCCCAATTCTGTGCAGAGAATATTAGCCTATGACAGGAGCAAAGAAAGGAGAAGCTGAGAACGGGACAGCAGAAGAAAGCTGAACACAGTCACTCAGGGCATGTGTTCTGGCATCACACTGATAGAGATTCCAGAGCACATAGTCTGCTTCGTGCCACTGTCCACATTAGCCAAAGTTCAGAGTTTTAAACCTTTCAAGACATCCAGTCAGCATAATTTGATAAAATTACTAGTGTGGAAAAGGGCAAGTTTTGCACCCATTATTGGTAGCTAGGTCAGAGCTTCAATAACTCTGATGACAAGCAGCGAAGGCATGGTGGACATTTCTGCAGGAGTTAAGAGCTTATATATGGCCATTAGGCTAAAAGAGAATGACTAAACCTTTACACAGCAACGGTTAAGAGAAGGTAACCCACGGCATCCATTAGAAAATTAATATTTGCCAAGACCTTTTGTGCCACACCTATTTTCTTTTTGGAATGCAGGACATGCTCTGGTATCTCTAATTTTCTCTTGCAGCTACCCGTAAGGCTATTTGTTAGGCCTACACAAATGCAAGCAAGGATAATAGCAGATAGTTTTGGTTTATTTTAACAATTGATGGGAAGAGCATTTGGATAATAACATTCCTTTCTGGGGGCTTTATCTTGCTATGAAGGACACTCATTCAGAGCTTTGCAATAATATGCTAATAAGATAGAAACTTTGCTCAAAAATAAGCCGTGTAGTATAGCAAGGCTAAGTGTGTGTACATGTATAAACAGTGATCAGCTATAGCTTGGCCTGAACCCAAACAGGATATGAATTATAACATGTTGTCCATATTTTCTTTTTAAGCTCAGAGTGAAGCAAGCTGGGGTGAGCATTCAAAAGATTGTACCTGGCCTTCAGACCATGGGCATCTGCTTGGATCACTATTTCAGTATTGTTCACCCAGAAGTACCCTTCACCATCTCTAGCATTCAGAAATTCATCAACAGCCAATTTGTTTTCCAGACTAGAAGAGAGATGATGCCAGAGTCATGGAAAAAACGGCCAATGCTAGAGCTGAGAGGTACTTCACTGTTTTCAGTAGCATAAGTGTTCATATTAAATCAGGAATTATGCTGGAGTTGAACTAATGCCTTTCTGTGGACTCCTGGCTTCACGTAAGTCCTATAAATGGCCTTGTCTTTGTGCTGTGAGGAGAGGATTTGATGGTTCTGTTTAGAGAAACAGTACTTTAAGATGCTTGTAGGCAAATTCTGCTATTACCTCACGAGATTTTGAAGGCTTTCAGTCAGAAATAACAACTGCGCTCCCATTTGAAAGGCTTGGAAAGACAGTGTTTTTCTAATGCTGCAAACCCCACATCTTTGCAGGTTTCCTGAGTAACAGGGGCAAGGCCAAGGGAGGATTAGATTGTTTTCTGAGCCACCTCTAGTCTCAGTTATTCACAGTGTCACAGAATTGACTCAACTCCAGTTGAGTTTGGAAGGGACCTCTGGAGATTGTCTAGTCCATCCCCCTCAAAGCAGGGTCAACTAGAGCAGGTTACTCAGGACCATGTCTAGTTGGGTTTTGAATATGTTCAAGGGTGGAGACCCCACAACCTCCCTGGGCAACCCATTCCAGCGTTTAACCACCCTTACCGTAAAAAGTTTTTTTCTTACGTTTAAATGGAATTCCTCCATTTCAGTTAGTGCCCATTGTCTCTTGTCCTTTCATTGGATACCACTGAGAAAAGTATTTTTTACTCCCTCCTGTCAGGTATTTATTCATATTGGTAAGCTCCCCCTGATGCTTGTCTTCTCTAGGCTGAACAACCCCAGCTCACTTAGCTTCTCCTTGTATGACAGATGCGCCAAGCCTTCCCAGGTCCTCCATCCTTTACTTTGAAAATAGGAGTGACTTTTACTTTCTTCCAGTCCTCAGGAACCTCCCCCAGTCACCATGACCTTTCAAAACTAATTGAGAGTGGCCTCACAATGACACTAGCCAGCTCCCTCAGCACTCCTGGATGCATCACATCAGGTCTTGTGGACTTCTCTCACATAAAAGGCAGCTCCCCCTCCTTGCCTGCCTGTCCTTTCTAAAGAGTCTGTGTTCATCCTTTGCAGTAGTCCAGGTGTGTGAACTACCCCACCAAGCCTCTATGATCCCAATGGCATGGTAGCCCTGAAACTGCACACAGACCTCTAGTTCCTCCTGTTTTTTTCCCCATGCTGTGCACACATGCGTGCAGGCACCTCAGAGAGGTGCCCAGTCATGCCCATTTCCCAGAACAGGTATGAGAATTTCCCCCATACTGCTGCCCTGTGTGGGTTTTTTTGCAGAGGTTAGAACCAAGTATGTAATGTAAGGCATTACTCTGGGGCAATTCCTGCAACATGGTTGTATCGTCACTCTTGGGTTTGGTTAGGATTCAGTGCCAGTTGCTCTGTGAATCTCCGCAGCCCTCAGCTACAGCCACCTGCTTCACTGGGGACCTGTGGAAGGGACACAGTGCCAGCCCTCAGAACCAGCTTCTGCTGACAGAGCCACCAGGCTCAGCATGGAGATGCACTGAGCTGTGTAAAAGTAACTGGCCATGGCTCACCTCCCCATAGCTCTGCACGTCAGCCTATGCACCCAACACAGAATCGCTTTGCACTGCTAAGAATTTTCTTGTCAAAGAAATTACTGCTTTGTACATGGCACAACATTTGAAACGCAGCCACCCAGCACAGCCAATGCCAGTTCACGGATCTTGGATGGCATCTTTGGCACATACAGACAATAACGAAAACGTGGGGTGAGCATTCCCGCAATAACACACTGTGAGCATACTCCAGCCAGCGCGCGCGTCCCGTCTGCCAGGCGAGGGGCGAGAAGGGCAGGGGACGAGGGAAGCACTTAGAGACAAAGTCCTGATACCATTGCTACAGCTGGAGCAAAGAAATGGCTTCCCCTGTGCCTCCGTGCATTTTGATTCCTAAAATGTGAATACATGATTCATTCTTAATTTATGCCTTTGAGGGGAGTTATTTGCTACTGGCTGGGTTTCAAATGTGGATAAAAATAGATTAGTTAGCTGTGCTTTTATTTTTTGTAGTCACATTTTCACATTCTGATTTCTGCCTTCACCCCCCCCACACACCTCTTACATAAGAGTTTACCCGTTAAAATTATTTTAGCAAAAAAGATATTTTAATTGCTTCATTTTTACTGGGAGGAATGAGTATGGAATGATTTTCTACTTCATGTAATTAACTATAATGACATTTGGTTTAAGTGTTCTGTGACCTCAATTTTGCTTCTCTGAACTATGTAATATGACCTAATTTTCCCTTCTCTCCTTTCACCTTTACATAATGAGTGTCAAATCTGGTATTCCTGAGATTCAGAAAAAATTAAGAGTTTAGGGATACCTTGAAAAAAGTGATGTTACCAAAACAAGGAACTTCCACTAGTCACAGGTACAATTTTACTTCCTCTTATGCTGTCAGGGTTAATTCACATGGTATCTCTGATATCCCAATCCTGTTAGTTTTCAAGCTGTTCATCCACTTGCCCTGGGGAGAGGGTGAGAGAAAAAGAAAGAAATAGGAATTCCTGGATTGCCGTTCAGAAACCAAGAATACTTATGAAGCAAATGAAGAATAATAATAATTTAAAAATCTTTGAAAAATCAAACCCACAACCAAATCTCAACAAAGGAAACAAAAACTCAATCCTCCCCGTCCCCCCAGATCTCTTCTACCTTTCAGGCATTTTTGTACCTGCTTATTTAGATGATCATAGTGACTGAAAGCTGCAGCTTCCAGGATGGAAAGCTCTGTTGACTTTACCGGGCCCACATTTTACCCACTGTGAAATTAAACAGGAGGGACCTGAAGCATGGTTGGGCTCTGCCTAGCAGTTGCAATGAGCGAGTGACTGCTTTCTGGGTCCTGAAATTTTTTTATTTGCCTAGAGTACCTCATCCAAACAAGTCTACCTCTAATTCCAGGAAACAGAGTAATTACTGTGATGACCCAGACCCTACAAAAAGCCACTGTCCTTAGAACTCATCCCCTAAAATTAACATCAGTAATACTGAGCATCACGTGAGAGTCCAAGCTGCTGAAAACGCTTACTGATGCTTGTTTCAAACAGGCCAGATGATCTGGATGGAGTCCCTGCAGTGCATGCTCTATCTCTGCTCACCTTTGCTTCGCACTTTGCATGAACTGGAGGAGCGACAGATGCATATTGCAGACATTGCACCTCATGACGTGACCAGGGATTTGATTCTTCTCAATCAGCAGCGACTGGCAGAGATGGAGCTCTCTAACCAGCTGGAGAGGAAGAAGGAAGAACTGCGGATACTCTCGAAGCATCTGGAGGAAGAGAAGAAAAAGACTGAAGCTCTGCTCTACGCCATGCTTCCTCAGCATGTGGCCAACCAGCTGAAAGAGGGGAAGCAAGTTGAGGCAGGTGAATGAACAGAATCCATTCATCATGCATGATTCGTGCACCAGGTGATGATGATAGAGAGACTGGGGTGCTAGCTCTCTCTCAACTTGGTGACATTCGTGGGAGGAGGACCACAGACCCTTCATCTCACTGATAACAAAGCTTACACTATTCTTTCAAACAAAGCTGTTTGCCAGAGTTGTTCCCTAGGAGGTGAAAGGTGGTAGCAAGTGCCGATTCAGGGAACAAAATTCAGTGTTTCCACAGTAAACTAAGATTTTGTTTTTAACATGGGTATCCAGGGAAATGAGGGCTCAAAAATGAAAGGAATAAAGAAATTGGTCTTTCCTAGAAAATTCTCCTAATTCCTCTATGCTATCTGTAAACCTAGAGTCATCGTGATTCCCATTTTTCTTAAGGATAGCAAGTAAGAACATGCTTAAATTCCCTTTAGTAAGCCCATATATAAAGTTAGGAGTAAAGAGCTAAGTATATCCTGAACATGGGTGTACAAAGGGATGTATTGAGATGTCTGGATTGTTTGAGATGTGTGATGATTCTTATATTTGATATACTCCTATATCAACATCTCTCTTTCATATCAGCACCTGTATATGAGTATTACAACTGATAGGTCATATGTCCTAAAAGAGTGACAAGAAAGAAATCTTTGCAAACAAATCTCAAACAGATGTCGTGATTGTCCAGCCATTACAAGTACTTACTACTGGTCTTTCTGCTCACAGGAGAATTCAAGGAGTGCACCATATTATTCAGCGATGTTGTGACCTTTACCAACATTTGTGCCCAATGTGAGCCTATTCAGATAGTTCTCATGTTAAATTCAATGTACCTGCAATTTGACAGACTGACCACAGTGCATGATGTGTACAAGGTATGTACTGATCGATAAAGGCTGTAGAAATAGTCTGGAAAAAGATTTTGTTGTTGCTGTTGTTGGTTTGGGTTTTTGTTTTTAAATGCATTTAAATCCTCTTCCCCCCAGCATGTTTTTTGATAAACCATAAAATATTGCATATTTGTAGTGGCCACACAGAGAAACTAAAAAACAGGCAGAGGTGTGATTAAATATATTTAAAATTTTCGGACAGGAATGTAACTTTTGTCACGGGCTAGAGTCTCTTTCCACAACACTTAACACCAGAATGACTGTTCTATCATACATCTCTCTCTCTCCTCTCTCAAATACCTACCTAACATGACAGGATATCCTAGTTTATGGACCAATTTGAATCATTTTCCTAGTTCTTTTGTTCCAACCTGTTGTAAATAGGTGACCATATCATTACGTGTCTCCTTTGGTGGGAAATAACATTATAAACAATACCCAGATAATACCTAGACTTTGTTTTGCTTCATGGAGATCTCAGGCGATGGTATAGATCTCCTGTTGACCCCAAAGAGCATTGATTAGATCTAGACTGTAATGTACGTGTTGTCTCCAAACCATGCTGGAAGGATCAGAGCCCTGCTTGACATATAATAATAGCGTTATTAACATCTCCAGAGCTACCCAGATTTGACAAGCTGAAGAGCAAGTCCTAAGTTTCTGTCTGTCCCCAGCACATTAAATATTTAGGAAGGCAGAAATAGTAAAGGGTGAAATCCAAATCTCATTCATTCCTTGCTCAGGGAAGGCATGCAGTTCATCCCACAATAAACTGTACTGGGAAATCAGAAGCGTTTCTGCCTTGGCAAGGAAACTGTATTCAATAATTGAAGCATCCAGGATATGGCCCACAGATTTTAGGATAAATTAGCATCATATTCTATCTAAATCATCCATCATAAGTAAATTATCTGTCACTATAATAATCTCCTTTTGATGCCTGTATATAACTGCTATTAATATTGAAGGAGGTTACTAGGGTACGAGAGGGAGGACGAGATTACTATTTCAGGGAATTGAGAAAGAAATGAAATATTGAAATTGATGAAAGAAACTTGGCCCAAGCTTATAAACATCTGAAGTTATGAATAAATCTTGTTAAATTAAATCTCTTACCACGGCCGAAAAATAATTAGGATATCTATTTGCATTAGTAGCTTTTTACAGTTGTTTTTAATTTGTTACAGAAAATTGCTGGCATTACTGTGGGGTTGGCTATCTGATAGAAGGCAGGTACGGGAACACATTTTTCGAGACTAATGGGCTGAACAGTTTTAAGTCATTATGTTAATGAACAAACCCAAAGATGAAATTATGTTCCCACTCTCCTATTGGTGTTCATTTTTAGGAAATCCAAGTAATCTAATTTAAACTGATCTCTTATTTACTGATGGTGAATCTAACAATGAAATCTCATAAGAGCAGTTCAGAAAACTTCCTTACTGCGTAAGTCTTTTACCGTGAATTTTAAACATTTGAGAATTCTCTGTTTCAAACAGGCCTATTCTATTCTCAGTGAAATCTCTGGTACAGGAACAAATCCCAGAGTAATTCTCAGGTGCCTTATCATGCACTTCAGGGAGACTGGATGCTTGAAAGAGGATGAACCCTTCAGCATTTGCCTCACAGGCTGCAGCATGTTGTGGGGAAACAGCTGGTTGTAAGGAAGGATGCTCCCAAACTGTTTAGTTCACACTTTGCATTCTCTGACATCCTGGAGATTGGAAGTTTCTTAATTTCATGTGAATCCCTTAATAATAATCACCAGTGAATAGACTCCCTTGCTTCATTGTGAATTTTTAAAAAAGAAATCTTTTTTTAAAAAAGAAATATGCTTTTAACACCAATTGTGAATTAGAGATAATTAATAGTATTCAGCTGTCCGATAACCTCCTGGCTCAGGAGTCCGTGCCTGGGGATAGCTCTTTGCATATAGGTCTGCCCTGGGTAAGGGGAAGGCAAAAAGTCTGACACTTTCACAGCATCCCTTACTCCTTAGGGTCTCTCACACTGATATCTAAAATGGGTAAAGTAAGCAGGGACAGAATGCGCTGAAATTTTTAGTGTGGAGCCAAGGAAAAGATCCCCATCTCAAGGAAACTCACAGGTGCTACAGCTTTTTAGTGATTGGAAGCATCTTTTAGAAGAAGGGGGGAGTTGGTGCAGGTAAGAAGAGCCCCAAACAGCAAAGCACTAACGTAAGCAAGATATATATGGCATGCTCATATGCTTGTCCCTCTCAATTAAAGGTGGAGACAATTGGAGATGCCTATATGGTAGTAGGTGGGGTCCCTGTGCCTGTACCCACTCATGCTGAGCGAGTTGCTAACTTTGCCTTGGGGATGATAATAGCAGCTAAAGGAGTACAGAACCCAGTTTCTGGAAATCCTATCCAAGTAAGTTGTTAACACGGAGATGCATGTGTGTCTGTCTGCTTCTTGGGTTGGGCTTCTGGTTAATGTATGGCAGAAGGACATCAAAGAACTTCTTCTGATTCCTCTGTGACTTTGGGCAAGGCCCACATGGGTACATTTTTCACGAAGAGCCTCTCTCTGTGGATATTTGATATTTTACTGGTGTCCAGTGTTGTGTTAGGATGAACTTTTACGTGGCTGGATAGCATTAAGAAAGATGTTAAATAACAAGAGACATTTTTGGGGGGTGTTTTATGTCTTTGTAAAGATTAGAGTTGGGATCCATACAGGTCCTGTCTTGGCTGGAGTTGTTGGAGAAAAGATGCCTCGCTATTGCTTGTTTGGAGACACAGTGAATATAGCTTCCCGGATGGAGAGTCATGGTGTCCCGAGTAAAATTCATCTAAGCTCCAGTGCCTATCAGTGAGTAACTGTGATGGAAACTTTGCCTGTTGAAAGCTGTGCTAAAAAACATTGCCTTGACAGCTGCAGCTTTCAATGTAGATGACGCTGTTTTTAGTCACTGATTTATGCAGCTTACTTATAAAGAAAAATCACTGCTTGCGAAGAGTTTTATTTGTTCTGATTATTTCAAATGCACTTGTATATGGAGCCAGAGGTTTGAGAATCTCGATCCTACAGAGCAAAATATGGGAAAAAAAATTGTGATAGCTTATTTGGAAGTACTGATAGAGTGATATAGATGCTAGAAAGACTGTGAGAACATTTAATTTGACATCCTGCATAACAAAAGCTTTAAAATCTCTCTGACTGAGCACAAAAATTTGCGGTGAAACAGTTTGAGTTGCACTTACTAAGGATTAACTGCATAAACCACTATCCTATTCATGCAGTGAGTAATGTATGCAAGAGGTGAAAGTGAAGACAAGCTGCAAGGCAGGAGTACAAAAACATTGTCTGGGCACATAGGAATGATATTAGGAAAGCCAGAGCTCAACTAGCATTGAAATGGGCAAGGCAGGCTCAAAGGCAGAAAGAGGAGCTTCTGCTGTGTTAGCAGAAAAGTATAAATGGAAACATGGACCTGCTGTGGCAGGTGATTTGGTGACAGTGTCCTGAATAAAGGCTGAGTTACTCAAGGCCTCTCTTGCTTCAGTCTTCACTGATGAGGTCTTTAAGGTCCCTGCACCTAGAGTCAGGGTTCAAGGAGTAGGTGAAGTACCAGTATTGGAAGAGGATCAGATCAGGGGTCTTTTGAGAAATCTCAATCTATAGAAGTGTAAGGGAGCAGATGAGATGCCTCCAAAGGTAATGAGAGAGCTGGGTGATGGCATTACAGTGCTGCTGACTGTCATCTTTGAAAGGTCATGAAGATCAGCGCAGTAGCAACTGAAGAACACCAGATGTTACACCTATATTGAAAAATGGCAAGGAGGACAGGCTGGGGAACTATAGGCTGGTCAGCCTCATGTCAGTCCCAGTAAAAAGCAAGTCCTCTTGGAAGCCATTGTTGGACACATGAAGAAGGCAACTGGGAACAGCCAGTCTGGATTTACCAGGAGTAAATCATGCTTGACAGGCCGTACTGCCTTCTCTGATGAAATGACTGGAGATAGTTCTGTCTAACTGATATCGGCTGCCTCAATTCTTAATTTCTATTTACTGGCCAATAAGAACCCCCCACCATACTGAAGTATTTGACTGTGTGATCCATTGATTTTTGATCAGGCTGTACGTGTAAAGCTATAAAAGCACAGCAGGCTTGAACAAACAGTGGAAACAAATCCTCAGTTGTTCACGGATCAATACTGTTTTCACCAGACTGTTGTGATTTGATTACTTAGATTACAATAGCTCTTTTAAAACATCGGTGTCATTTTTGCTAATCTTGAATTTTCATGTGTCATTTTGCTTCTGATATTTTAGATGCCTAAAATACAAGAATTTTGAGATGACTGAAAGAGGAGAAATAGAAGTAAAAGGCAAAGGGAAAATGCACACATACTTCCTCATTAGAAATAAAACAGCGACTGAGAATGAGATTATGGGAAGGCCAACGAAAGACTTAGATTCTGGCCATGAATCGGTTCAGTCTTTTCAAGAAGGCAGGGCTGAAACAATACCAAGTTTTCATCAGCCAGGTAGAGTCAGCTCGACATATCTTTCCCTGCTTGAGCAAAGGAACGTTAATACACCTCAATTAAATACCCTTTTCTGTTCTTCTTTCAGTTACTCAGGCTCAGCCAGAGAAGGACCGGACCCCAGCCATTGCAATGAAGTATATTGATGGCCCCACAGATGCACAAAACAGCCTCAAAAGAAGACAGAAAGAGGAAATTGCAGATTTAACAGGTAGTTAATTAGTTACCATCTAGCAAAGACAATAGAACTAGGAAGTAACTGAGGCTTAATCTTGCAGCTTCGTGATATTCCTCTTCTGAATAACCATTGTTTTACTCAAGGCAGAAATTCATCCCAACATATCCATGTTGGTAAAACTAACCATTCTGCACACTGTTTAGGGCCAAACAAAATCACCTTCAGAGCAATCCCAGGTGCTAACTGTGCACTAGGGAGAAAGAAGCTGACATAGCTGTCAAACCCCAGAGCCCTTCTGGCAGTGCAAACAGAACAGATAAATGTTAGACAGCTTTTCACATGGACAGACCCAATTGTTCATGTACACATCTTTTTCTAGAAAAGCTGGCATTATTTGTAGTTATGGGGAAGCCCTTATCGACTCAAGCCTGAGAAAGAGAGACCTCACTGGCTGTGCAGCCTGGCAGTCCTCAAGCCAGGCTCCTGCAGGAGTCAGAAGGATTTATTGCCATGCCCATATTCTGCGACCAAAGTTCATTCTCCTTTGAAGTAGCTGACACTGAAAGAGAGATAACTGATTTGATGCCATAACAGTCTAATCTAATGCAGCAAGTCTTGTAATTCTATTTATGTGTTTTGTGGATTTTATACAGACTGAATATGTTGTCCCTGATTACTAGAAAATATTTCACTCCCTTCCCTCCCACCTGCTTAGACGTGGTAGTTAATCTAGACTGTGGTGTGCTGACAAACAGAAACCTCTATGGTCATTAAAAACTCGCACTGAAGGAGTGTTTCCTTTCAGGCAAAACTTACGATTCCAAAAGTGATGGGAGTCTCCATAGCAACCAGCATGCAGATGATGGTCCTTGTCCTCTAAACCGGGGAAGAGTCAAACCTGCTACTGAAGAGCCACAGATTAGAAATGTTCGCTCTAATTTTTGCACTTTACTCTAATTTTTACTTTTTACATTAAACAGAGCAATTTTGTTATGATTTAGTGCATTTTGCTGTTGTGGGACTGATTTTGTATATTAAGTACCACATGATTTTGTAAAAAAGAAAAAAAAAAGAAAGAAAACAAAACCCCAAGGGAAAAAAAAAAAAAAAAAAAAAAACACATTACAACACAGTTTACAAAAAAAAAAAACAATAGAGGGGATTCCCAAGGGAAAAAAAAAAAAAAGAAATAAGACATTTCATCACAGTTTTCAGCAAAAAGAAAACAATAGAGGGGATTTTTTTTTAATCAATCTACATGTGCCATGTAATACTCCCACAGGAGAAGGACACCACCACAAGATGCTTTGAAGATGTATTTTTCACTCTGCCATGTCTTTGAACACCCTATGTAAAAATCACTTTTTGGTATCTCATGCAGCAATTGAGAACGAGGTGACTCATCCAGCTAGAAATATTCCTACTCAAATGAGCACTTGCCATAAAAGAAACATTCCCTGAAGTGACCATCTGTCTTGACTTCAGCACAGCCAACAACTTCCCCATGTAAGGTTAGCAGAGTTCGATCTACATTTTAACTGCGATGACAGTTTAATCTCTTAACAGGTCTTTTGTTGGGTAAAGGCATTATGCAGTAGAAGTGCAGAATAGATCTAATACAACCTGTATTTTTCCATCCCGAAGAAAAAAGACTGTGTACCTTATAGCACCCGACAGTAAAAAAAGCATCTGCAACCTTTGAACCAGCTGTCCATGCTGTGCTTAGATGATCATAGAAGGACATGCACATAGTGGAGTTACATAGCATCGAAGTCATCATAACACTGAAGACTGTTCAAGGCCTGTGAACTATTTGAGACCTTCAAACAAGTTGCAAGTTTATTTCTCCATATTCTCACCCCATCTAAACAAAAATAAAGTTTCAGGACTACAGAGGGAGCCTGTCAGTGCTGGAATTAATGTTGTTAACATCATTGAAAATAACAATGTTAAAGTCAACATCACTTACCTGGTGTCAGAGGCTCCTCAGCTGAATTACTTTCATGCTGATATATTCTTAGATTATGCCTGATCAGAAATGGCAGAGAAAAATTGAAGTTCAGTTGTCAGAGATTTAAGATGCAGGAGCAAAAATACAATGGATATAAAGGTTGTGAACAATTTGGCGCATCATAAATTGTGCTCTCACTCCTATAAATGCTTGGAGTAGGTGGAATGTGCTTGTACTGGGTGACTTTGACAGGAGATGTGCCCTGCACGCCGATTTATTACCTTTGGGCATGGATTCGTTGCCTAAGGATGCAAGCATGAGACCCATTTGTCCACACTGTAGGTATTTCAGAGGGCTTGCTAGTGTGGTCCCACGCACTGAATACCTGTTAGCTTTTGGAGCACCTTATAAGCCCATCCTCTGACTTAGTTTCATGCAGAAGACATCCTTTTGTGTGCTTTGAGACCGCTCCACAATGTGAAACAAAGTACGGTAAGCGGGTTTGACCAGGAAATTCACTCAGGAGGGTACTCCTGACTCTGACTGAAATGCTGATGTAGAAGCACCCTTTAACATTAGCACTTCCCACGGTACGGCTGAGCAGCACCACTCTGGGAGAGGGCAGTTTTATGAATGGCAGGATTCATTTATTTATTTATTTGTAAGGATTTTGCTATCTAGGCACTGTTCATTATTTTGGCGAGGGCGAGATATACTGTAGGTTGAAGATGCATCTAAAGATTATTAAGTTGGGTATCAAGATTTTAAACATTGGACTGTGTCCTACCCTCAGACACACAACGTCTAAATCTCACCTTCATCCTTAGTAACTCCTCCTGACCAGTCCAGTGCTCATGGCTTTGCACTTCTGTACTATGACCATAGCTTTAAGAAAACTTTCCCAAAGAAAGATAATACCCAATTTCTCTCTCACTTACAATGATGTAAATGTGAAGTAAGAGTTAAATTGGCACTATCCCACTGATGTCAGTCAAGAATCAACTCTGACAAGACTTTTTTGTCTCCAGCCTAGAGATGCGTTTCACTACTCTTGACTAGTCATGCTGATGGAACAGAGAACACATAGAATCATAGAATCCTTTAGGTTGGAAAAGACCTTTAAGATCATTGAGTCCAACGATAAACCTAACCCTGCCAAGTCCACCGCTAAAACCGTGTCCCTAAGCACCACATCTACTCGTCTTTTGAATACTTCCAGGGATGGGGACTCAACCACTTCCCTGGGCAGCCTGGTCCAGTGCATGACTGCCCTTTCAGTGAAGAAGTTTTTCCTAATATCCAATCTAAAGCTCCCCTGGCGCAACTTGAGGCCATGTCATGTAACAAATAGCAGCGGTGGACTCCGTCTTTATTGGTATTTGCTATGGAGATAGAAAGCCACTTAGCCCCAAGCACAGGTGTGACACAGGCACGTACATCTCTCGGTGGCCAGTGCTAATGCAGGAGGGCACCTCTTGCTGTCTCAGCTGCTCTTGCAGTCCCGTACCTGCATGGCTGAATACCACTGACCACCTCTCTGAAAGGAAGAATTTCCAACTGGAATTGTCCAATAAGCCTGGCTATCAGTGAATAGGGTTTAGCATATATTCCAGGGTTTAATACAGATATATTCCAGAGTGGTTTTAGGTAGAAGCCCAGAACTCCTCTGAACTTGTATGGATCCTCTTCGGAAGGAGAAAGAAAAGGACCATGGCTTAATTGTTGCCTGCATCTCTGTCCAAATTTTAACACTCGCTTTGCTTATACCTGCCCTTTTTGCACTGAACAATCTATGAATGTTTAATAGTGGAATGTTTTAATTGCCAGTAAGTGCTCCATGGTAAGTTACTTCATGCTGTACTGTGGTAAAACTGATGTGCTCAGTGGTTTCTCTGTCGCCTCTGCTACAATCTGGTGCTGCTGGAGATGCAGAGATAGGTCAAATCTGCACAACTGCTTTTAAAAATTAATGTGCCTGTGCATTATCATGTGTTCTTAAATCTGTGGGCACTGCTGAAGACTGCAAAAATATCATTCAGAAATAAATCTTTCCATTGATATACTGACTGCTGTTTGTCAATGACTAGTTTGATTTCTTTCCCTCCTTCCCCTTCCACCTTTTCTGTTCTTTTTCCCTATAAGTATACAAAAGTTTAAGACCATTATACCTGTAATAAATGTCCAGGGAGTTTAATTTCTTGACCATACACAAAGTTATGTGTATTTGTGCGACATCAGAATCAGCAGCCCACTACAATTGACATTGTCATATGCTTACTAATACACAGTCTTAGTGACTTATCTACATTGAATCGACACAAAAAGGGTGGGAGAAGAGAATTCCCACTGCTGCTTCATGGAAGCTGAGGCTTAGAAAATTTAAAAGTTGAGACTTTTGGAAGCTGTCTGAAGCATATGGATTCCCAAATCCCATTAAATCTGGTGTTCAAACATGAATTGTCAAAAGCTTGGGTACCTTAAAGGTCTAGGGGCCAGATTTTCAAAGGTGATTGTTGTTACTTTGCTAAGTGAAATCAACTGGATTTAGGTACTTAACTGAACACATATGCAGTGTCTAGTTTCTGACAATGCAGCTTTCTTTAAAACATTTAGAAAGCACTTCCCTGTAAATGCCTCCTAAAGCAAGCTGTTCAGTAAACTTTCCAAACTGTAACCTCATTTGGTGGAAGTCATCGATTCATTGCTTCTGACATTACAATCAACTCTGTATGGACCCAAGCCGAACACAAAAATACACAAATAAAATAGCAGTGAAACTGAAATTATTACTTCATTGGTGAGAATATATTAAAAATGTACTTGAATATACAAAACATGGTGAATTTCAAAATGAAAAAAAGGAGCACAGATTTTTATGCAAGTATACAACATCACAGAAAATCCAGAAGGGTTTTTTTTCCACCAGGTCTCTGCTTTCACTTTTGAAAGCTCAAGAGTTTAAGAGTAGACAATGAGATGAAAATCTTCCTTAAAGTTATCGGTACAAACATCTACTGCTCATGCATTCTCTGTACAATATTCAATCATCAGTGCGGCCTGTACATAAAGAAATAGCAATCTGCAGTATTTTGGTTCCATAAATACTTGTAATCAAAATAATCATGTGGGACACTATCTTTACTCATATGGCTAGAACTAACAAGCACTTCTCATTTTTTACAAGCTGTTTGTAGTTCTCTCACATTTGTTTTGCACCTGTTTTCTGAATTTCTGCTAATGATTTTTGATCCGAGCTGTGCTGAGAAGCCATTCCTGAAAAATTCTGATATTCACAATTCCTCCTCTTTTGACTTGGTGTACAGCCTTTAGTCCCCGGCTGGATGAACGCACCAAGTCAGAAACAGATTTGTAGTCACATTTTCATACTGATTAGTACCTACTCTCCCCTGCGCTCCCTTAGAGGTGAACCCCAAATGGACATAAACAGTCATTGCCAAGCTTTGCAGAAATTCAGAGTAACATTAACTGACTCTGTAACGCCCTCTTAACTTTGCTGTATTAGTACTGTGAAGTTTTAAAGTTTTACAGAGAAAACCTCACAGGCTCTTTAATAGCTCTTATTTTGTCATTTGCATCAAATACCTTTCTGGCAAGGGAATCGGCAAACACAAGGGGTGGCATGGTTTCTGCTTTTTGTGACAAACACATCAAAACCAGCTTCAAAACCTGTTTACAGCAGTCCTAAGGTAAGGGATCCTTGAGACATGTTGCGCAGAAGCTACTTTGTGGAGGTACCTTTGCTATCATGTGGCTTCATCATGGTGTATGGGCTTCCAGCCGGCTTTGTTGTGGCTTCCATTTCCATGCTAAACATCGGGCCAGTGACCCGAAACACAGGCTGGGTGATTCTCTGCAGGCATCCTGCCAAAGCGTTTTGCAGGAAAGGAACCTGAGACACAGCTATCATTTAAGGCCAATTTATCTTGAGAATCAATGGGCCTTTAAAAATTCACCAGCTCACATATCCTTTTCAGCGATGGTGGTT